ATTTTTATTCATACTTCATGTTGGCACATTCAGAAGTGAATCAGAGGAAGATATACAGATTGCAGAAATAATGAAACTGAATCAAGACAGTGAGTGTTGTTAGACCTCTCACCTGTCACCTGTCTGTCGTCCACACCGACGCCAGCAGACGACGTTTCTGCTCGGCCACAAGATGCAAAGCAACAGAATCAACGTCGTGCTCCACAGATCAGATTTATACTGAAGACGATATAATCAGATTTAACTCCTTAGTAATTAGTCATTTAATGTAACAGATTACAATTACAGCTATTTTGTAATTTAATTATATAATACTAACTAGTTACTCCCCAACACTGGTGACAGGTGACTGTAGATCATATATGGAGACCCCTCAGGTTTGACCACTGTTAGAGTCAGTGCCCAGACTCTATACTAATGCAATAATAATAATGATAATAAACTTTATTTGTAAAGCGCTTTTCATGCTCAGGACGCAGCTCAAAGTGCTCTGACAAATATAAATGGAGAAAGGAAGTTAAGCCGGGGAAGTCTCTAAAAGCTAAATTGAACAGATATGTTTTGAATGTCCCCTCCTCTCTAATATAAGATAAATCTTGGTGGGGTGTTCCACAGTTCAGGTGAATGATGGATGAACTTCACGGCCACATTAACATTTAAAACTCAGTAACTTTAGGCGAGTTACTTTGGCTTTGGTTAAGTTTTGGGCTGCAGAGGTTTCAGCTGACGGCCCACCCTGCAGAGTGAAGCTGGAGCAGGGCGACGCGGGAGGCTGTTAAACGCACCGTGATTTGTTTAAACAGACGTCAGTGACAAATGGCTGCGAGTAACAAAAGCTTTAAACAACAGCAGAGTGGAGGAGTTTCATTAGAAAGCTGCAGGATTCAGGGAACACACACGTTCACACTGCCATGTTTATGAGGACACCAGGTTTGGATAAAAGCACGATACAAATGCAGCCATTAAAAAAAACAGTGATTGCAAGTTATTTAAAAGTCTGTGGATGAAGATCAGTGTGTGAAAAAACAACACTCTGAGTAATAAACAATATAAAGTCATAATATGTGTGTTAAGAGGATGAAACAGACAGACGGACGTTGGAGCGCTCACGTGCAGAGAGTAACAGATGAGGCAGTCATTTACTGCATCGATTGTTTGTTGGCTGTATGGACAACAGAGAGGCCGGCTATTGGCTCAGGTCATCACCTTATAAACACACTCAACGCCTCCTCAATACAGTCACTCCGCATCACGGACGGATGGAGGGATGGATTAATGATGAACACAGACGGAGGCTGAGGGAGTTCGACTTGTTGTGTGATCGCTGGTTAAGATCTGTGTTGATTTATTTTAGTACTTTTTAATTGTTTTTATTAATAAGTTGGTTTTGAAGATGCCAAAGATTTTTATTTTTACTTTGAAAAGTCCAGTTTACATGGCTGATTGATGCTACAGGTCATAAGCTCTCACACTGAGACAAATCTACCTCATCAGTTCAAGACAACATCAAATATTTCACTGTTTTTCTTTTTAGCCTCACCAACACTATGGTAAGGTCACGCTTGTCCTGTAGGGGGCACTAGAGAAGAGGTCATGGGGTCATTAAAATCAAAGGCATTGTTTCTCAGGGGAATGTGAAGATTCAATCGTAATCAGACCATTAGATTTTAATATTTCATGTGTATAAGAGGAACTTATGGCCTCACTAAAGGAAGTCTGGAGATCATAACAGAAAGTTTTATTTCACTCTCCTCAGCTGTTGTTGGGACAGATCTTTACACCTCTTCCTCTTTCTTTCTTTAAATGGAGTCTTGTTTGGTTTATGTTTCACGTTCCTGCAGCTTGTTTCATGCGCTACCCTCTGAAAAAGTATTTTTAGACCTCAGAATTTGTTTTTACGGCCGAGGCGCTGGCAGACGGAGCGGCGAGGCTTTTAAGCAGGTGTAAATCAGGTTTGTATAACGTTTAACACCCAGCAGGCTCCGTAATAATCACAGCTAAGGCCTGACTGCGGAGAGGAGAGGATAATGATTTGTCGCGGAGGCTTGTTTAAAACATTTCAAATCAACCGGAGTTATTTCTTTTTGTCTGAGCTGCAAGTGCAAAACTCGTCGTCATTTTCAGCTGCAGAGGTTCGTTCTTAAAACCTTAAAGTGAAACATTATCACACTATTATGTGATGAATCTCTAGAAATAAACAGATTTTGACTTTGCTTTATCATAAATATTCCTATAGTGCTTACAGTTTTAGTTCATCAATAACTTTTGGGTATAAATACACTCTGGAACAAAATCTTATTTAACTGAAGGTTACATTATATTATACCTGAAGTGAGACCAGTGACACCTGTGTAACTTTTATCCAGTTTAAGGTGGACTTACTGGTGTCATGACATACTGTATATCCTTAACATGGCAGTGAAATCTCATATGATTTAAGATCTGTAACTTTAAGAGGAGACTGCACTTCCTCAGCAGTTAAACATCTGACTGTCCTCCCCTCTGTTCTCTCAGATTTTTAATGTGTCCTAATGCATTTATATACAATGTCTGTTTTTACATTGAAGAAATGAGAAAACATACTGGAGCCATATGAATGAAATTACATGTGAATGTTTCTCAGAAAAGATGAGCCGATAACAAACATTAAAAACACAAAAACAATCGCAAATAAAATAAATAAATAAATGAATGCATTAAAGAATAATTATTACTGTTGCACAGTTTGCCCATACATAACATAATAATTTCCATTTTTAAAGTCCATTACGTTTTATTTATTGCCAATGTTATTTTTTTTAAATTACATTTTCCAATGTCACGTCCAATTTCTTTACCTCAGTTTGTCCAGTTTCTCTGTTGTATGTAAATAAATAAAAACACATCTGACAGGAACAATGATAATCAATTAACTGGAGAATAAATCAACTGTAGTTTGTCTAGAGGATAATTTTTCATGTGTTGCCCCTGGACAGATTCATATGCACAACATGATTAATATGCACAGAATAGTACAGTGTTCAATCTCCAGTATAATAGTCCTGTATGATAATCAGCTATAATCCATAAAATCAGGTAAAATGCATTTATACAATACGGTCAGCTGCTAAACATGCAAGTGTAGATCTACATATATTTTTTCTTTTGTTGAGATTTATTTTGACTTGTCACTTTTGATAGAAGGAACTACTTAACGCTGCGCACATCGCCTGCAGCTGGTAATGTAGTAATTAAGAATAGCGCGGAGTGATATACAGGTGAAGTGTCGTTTGGACGCGCTCTTCTTGGTCAAGTTTGTTGCGGACATTTACTCGTTTAGACGTACTTTATTTAGCCTCCAACCCGAAAGTAGTTGTAATACTCGAACTAATTAGCTGTTAAATTATATTCGGCGTGTCCGTACTGCTCCGTGATACAACATTACTGCTTAAAAACGTGCTCAAGTTTCACCACAAGATGGCGGTGCCTCTCCGAGTGAAACGGTCGGGTGAAAACAGGTTAGCTAGCTGCTTGTTAGCTGTCGTTTACACGTTGGTAATCTAAAGAGCCCCTGTGTGGTTAGAATAATTAAAGTTCAATGTTGGTCGATATGCTGTTTTGTTCTACTCTCAGATAAATGTGTATTAAGTTAATGGGGCTCACTCTAGAGTACTGATCGTTCGGTCGTTGTTAGCTAATTAGCTCGACGTTAGCGCCATTAAAACGAGTATGTTGCAGTTTTCTTTGTTCTCAGTGTGATTTAGTGACTCCCTGATAATGCAGACAAATAATTAGCATTAACTGCTGCAATGAATTTAAGTTGTAAACATGACTTAACAGCATCAACAACCGTTTTAATATGAGTCCATCAGTTAAAACTGTAAAAACTGTAGGCATTTGGATGAATAATGCATTTAATTTGTATTTACACTTGATAAAAAGAAACCTGAACTTCAAAAGATGGTACAGTTGCACCAGTTGCAGTTTTATTTACTGGCTGTGTCCTAATAGATTGTGTGACCTGGAAATTCTTTTAAATGGTGGAATCTGCAAATCTAGGCCTAGTTATTCATATAGATAGTTATTTATGACTCTTGCTGTATGTTTTGGCTTGTTATCCTGCTGCACAGTGAATCTGGGACCAATCAGATGCTTCCTGTCTGGTACAGTGTGATAGGTCTAAAGTTTTTGCACAGTACTGTATGTCTTACCTTATTTGCTACACTACTAGATTAAAATGTAGAAAAACAAGGTTTACTGCAAGTGCCTGTAAAACACACTGGTTGATTCATGATGCATAGGTCTCTCATTCAGACAGAGAATAATTAAAATATTTTATATTAATGTTGAACATCTGAAGCTTCATAATTTGATTTATAACTTGATTGAGGACACTGTTGCTGTTGTTAGGATCATTATAAAACTTGATTTAAGCATAATTTAAAAGCAGTTTATCTTAAAATGTCTTCAGAGATGAGATGTGATGTATTTTTAATGAGAAAATTTAAGTTTTTAACTAAATATTTCTGTTGTAACACGTTAACTGTTAGTTTATTAAGCAATGTTGACTGAAAGAATTGTTTGTCATCTCAAGCAAAAATGTCAAACATTTGCTGGTTCTAGCTTCTCAGATGTGAAGATGTGACTGTAAATTAAATATCTTCAGGGTTTGGACAGTTGGATTGACAAAACAAAGAATTTAAAGATGTCACCATGTGCACAGGTATTGAAACTAATAGAGTTTGGGTTAAAGTAAATGATGGATGTTGATCAAATTTAACAAATTGTTCCATCCATCCAATCCATAATGATTGTTACAGTAGTTGCAGTCACAAGATTTAAACGCATCTACTGTAATTCCCCTTAAAATTAGAAGAAGACTCTTGAAATAACATCACTATATGTCTTACCTTAATGTCCTACAGATATCCAGGTGATTACAGACAGTCGTCATGAGCGCACTTCTACCTGTGTATACTGCTCTTGTACTAACTCTGGTGCTGTATATTTGTGTGTTCCAGATCTACGATGCAGAGGGGACGTTACAGCACTTTATTGATGGTAATGATCCCAGTAAATCCAGCTGGATGAGGTACATCCGCTGTGCCAGACACTGTGGGGAGCAGAACATGATGGTTGTACAGTACAGGTAAGAACAAGTTTTTTTTTAAGTCTCTGGCTGACAATTGGTGGAAACATGTTGTTCAAAAGTGTCCTCGATTGTTCAAGTGTGAAAAAATACATGTGCTGTGTAGTAGGGCTGGACAGTATGGCCAAAAATATTATCACAATATTTTTTTGTCATATTGATCAATCAGTCGCCTCACAGCAAGAAGGTTCCGGGTTCAAGTCCCAGCTCAGTCGCGGGATCTTTCTGTGTGGAGTTTGCATGTTCTCCCCGTGCCTGTGTGGGTTCTCTCCGGGTACTCCGGCTTCCTCCCACAGTCCAAAGACATGCAAATGGAGACTAGGCTAATTGGTTATTCTAAATTGACCGTAGGTGTGGCTGTGAGTGTGAATGGTTGTCTGTCTATATGTGTTTGCTCTGCGATGGACTGGCGACCTGTCCAGGGTGTACCCCGAAAAGATTGTTCACAAGAATACCCCAGTACCTTTTTGATTTGAATGAAAAGGGGTGTATTCAGTTTACGATTTTATCCTGCATAAATCACAAGGCGTGTTATGGTTCTAATCAATCATTTATTTTTGAATGAGTAATTTGATTCTCTCCATCCAACATGGTGTAACATCCACTGTATGCTTACTGTTCAGAAACACTCTGAATGGCTAAAATACACCTTTGTCTTTACAGAAAAATAAGAAATGAAAAAATAATAATGAAGCTGAATACTAAAGAGTTAATCAGTGTTAATCATAATTAACTTTTGAAGCAGATGCCGGTATTACCTCCTCTACTGCCGTTTAGTGTGACTGGAACTTGGTCTGACAGAGCTGTCTAGATCCACACCAGGAGATGCTCTGTGCTGCGCTGACAAAGACTCACTTTTATTTCTTTGACTGTGAAGACATGATGTTTTCTCAGATGATGATCAAAGGCATTAAACCATGGGTCTTACAGGTAAAACATGGGACTGTAAATTTTATAGAAGTTCAGTGTGGTGAGGATGCACCGCAGCTGAGCTGGACTGTTACTCTAATTGGGCAGGGCTGAATAATCCATTTCTCACAATTGTGGAAATTGTGTATTGTAAAATTAACGTATTATGTTTAGTATTTATAAAGAATTGAAAATATCTATATAAAGTTTGTTAAAGTTATCTTCTTTTAGAGACCATTAGCTACTCGTCATAGCAGACAAAGCGAGTAAAACAGACATTGTTTTATTTCTTCTCCCAAACGTTTTGCATGCTGCCACAAAAACAGAACATACTCACAATAGACAAATATCAGCTCCAACCCACAAAGGAGCCTGGCAGCATTTGGAAAACTTTGTTCATCCATCTTTGATCAGTTTTGATTTAATGATATTACTGTTGTTATTGTTATTACGATAGATAAAAAAAAACCCAAAGATAACACACAGTATACATTTCAAGTTTTAGATTAATGGCTAATAAAGCATCTCTCCTACCAAGAAACAAAAATAAAAACATGCTAAATACAGTATTAAGCATTTGTAATAACAAACATGATAATAAAAAAGAAGATAAAAATCAACAAGATCCTTATATTTACTGGCATCAGTCACTAAGTAAAATAAAATTAACATATGGCACAGTCTCATTTTTTTCCATCATGTGAAACTTTCCTGCCTTTCATTTTGTTAACATGTAATACTTGTCATGATATATATTACTTAGGTATAGAGAAAACAAGGAAATATCATTGTAAAGATATAATCTCTCTTGGTCCTTTACTGGTTTCCAACATCTTGAAATAAAAACTGCACAAAAATAAACAAAAACATTTGATTTTACTAAACACACCTTCCAGCAGTTGAGACCTGCATAACCAACATGACATGTCTGTTTACACCTACACACTGAACTGAGCAAAGACTTGTATTTACAGTTTAGAAGTATTAGAACAGAATTATTTTCAGTAATGCACACAAAATGAAACACAACTTAATTTAACTGTAACTGCGTGTTCAACAATAAGAAAATATCTACAGCAATTTTTGAAAATTAATTTAAAGCAAACTTACTACGTTATTTCTCACTGAACTTTGGACATTGGTTGAAAAGAACAATAGAAGTATGTGGAGTTAATAAGAACCCTGGGTGTATATTAGTAATAAGCCAATATTATACTTAATGTATCATTAAAAACATCCTGTTTGGTATTTTTATTCTTTGATACTAAAAACTATGATAAAAACGTGTCAGAGCCGAAACTTTTCTGTTGTGGCATCTCATAAAATGCAACAAGTCCATTTTAGACTGGCTTTCTTTACACATTCCTGTATCCAGTCATTGATTTCTTCCTCGTGTTTTGTCTTTAGAGCATCAGTTGCTTTTTTCTGATCTTCTTTGTTTCGAGTAGAAATTTTATTTTGCAACTCACTCATTTCTTGTTGTTGCTTTTTCTTCAATTTGTCAAATTCCTTTTTGTATCCTTTGTTTTTCATCAACTGTTCAAATATCCCATCTCTGTGTTTTTGTTGAGCTTCTACTTTCATCATCATAGTAGCAAAGTCGGTTTTGTATTTTTGTTTGAAATCATTGACTTCTTCAGCTTTCTTTCGGGCCTCTGATTCATATTTCCTTGTAATATTCTCAATTTCTCTGGTATGGTCTTTTAACAGTTTTCTCATCTGATCCTCTTGTATTCTTCTATTCTCTTCTTCCTTTGCCTTCTCATACTTTTCTCGCTCCTCTTCTCTCTTTTTATATTCCTCATGACGGTTCGCCCACCATTCTTGTCGTTCACTCTCCCAAGCTTCTCGTTGTTTTCTCATCTCTTCTCTACTCTGCTCCAGCTCTATACCAGTCTTCTCTTTCGACTTAGATTTTGCTTTTATTTTTTGTTTCAAAGCTTGACCTTTCTGTTCCCACCCCTTTCCATTATTTTCATCTTTCTCTTTCCACTTCTTTTCATCCTCTTTTCTCTTCTCTTCTCTTTTTCCTTTCTCACGCTCCCTTTTGATGTTTTCTTCTTTTTCATCAATTTGTTTTGCTCTTTGTTTTATCTCCTCTTCAATCTTTGCTCTCCGTTCTAATATTTTTCTTCTAATTTCTTGCACTTGTTCCTCATATTTTCTCTCAAGTTCCCTCTTCTCCCTCTGCATCTCTTCGTCTTGGGCTTTTAAAACCTTCTTCACCTCATGTTGTATGGCTGCCTCTGCTTCTTGGAGCAGCTCATTTGTGTAGTAGTTGCCGCCATTTTTCTTTATCATTGTCTCAACCAGGGTCAAAAGTTCAGTGACTTGTGTGCGTTTTTTCTGACTTTCATTATCGAAGAAAAGGTATCTGTCTCCACAGTCATGAATCAGTTTTTTGACAAAGTCATCACAGTCATCTATGTAATCCTTAAATGGTCGACCTTTCAGCTTGTCTCCTCCTGTGAATATGATGACTATAAAGTCACTTGAATTCTTCCCAAAAACCCTCTTGATCAGTTCCCACAGTTTCCTTTTCCTCTTTTGTACAGCGGCCAATTTGCAGAACCAGTAAGAACACATGAGGTCCAGGAGCCAACATGTTGATGCATTTCACAAGCTCCTCTTGAACATCTTCATTGGACAGAGTTGTATCGAACAAGCCGGGGGTGTCGACCACAACAACAGGCCGTCCATCAATCTCTCCTGATTCTTTTTTGCAAAACTCGGTTACAGACTTTTGGCTGCATTTACATTCAAAATATTCTCCTCCTAAAATGGTGTTTCCCGTTGAACTCTTTCCACTGCCAGTCTTCCCAATCAGCACCATCCTGAGAGGCTCTCTGCTCTGACTGTGATCTTCATCTTCCATCCCACTCCTCTGTTTCACTTTCTGTAGTTCAGATTGAAGATTGAGTCTTGTAATCTTCTCCATCTGAGCCTTGGTGAACATGTCCTTTGTGAAGCATCTGGATCCTTCAGCTCTCATCTTTTCCACAGCCTCCAACAGCTCAGAGATCTGATGTTTGTTCTTGATGTTGAGAACAACAGATCTTCCTCCACAGCTCTGAAGCAGCTCCTGGATGTCTCTGCTCTTTCTTATAAAGTCAACAACAGCTGGAGCTGCAGGATCTGACTCCACAGTGAACAGAATCATGGTGAAGTCATTGACTCGAGAGCTGAATGAGTTCTGGATGGTCTTTAACTCTCCCTTGTCTTCATCAGTGAGGGGATCCACAGCTAGGACCAGGATGAAGGCATGGACGCCCTCAGGATCACAGAGGGAGATACACCTGAGTGATTCCTTCATCACTTCCTCCTGAGGTTTTCCATACAAGGCAGGAAGCTCCACCAGGGAAACCTGACGTCCTCTCACCTCTCCCTGATGTTTAACACACTCTGAGTTGGCAGGTGGACCAAACTTTTTTTCTCCTAAAATAGCGTTGGCTGCTGAAGTCTTCCCGACTCCAAATCTCCCACACAACACTAAGTTCAGAGGAGGATTTGGATTTGAAGATTTGGGTGTGGTCATAAGATCAGCCCAATCAATGCAGTTTAGATATTTTCTCCTGTTGTCACTCACTATCTTCTCCATCTTATCTATTAGTTCTTCTTTATCAAAGTTAAATTTGTACTGCCTTCGTCTGCAGTTTTGTGTGAGTTTATCCACTGCTGAATTCTTTCCCTCCTCTTTATGTGTTAAGATGACCATTGAATGTTTAAAAGCATCTTGACCAAAGACACTCAGGATATTCTCTATTTTTTTTCTGTCCTCTTCAGTGAAATCAGAAGGATTCACCAACAGCAGCAGAACATTTGGTCCTGGGAGACAATTAGCCACACAATTCTTCATCTCGTGTCTCACTTTATCCAAATGCAAACTGAAGACATCTGGGGTTTTCATTACTGTTAATGTTTTTTTTTTCAGCTCTCCATCGGTTGATATTTGAGTTATTTTCAACCAACCTCCTTGAGCTCCTGTTGATTTTTCAGATAGTTTCATAAAATCTTTTTTCCCTGTGATGAAGTTGGTTACTATTGTCTTTATAATTTCACTCTTTCCAAAAATCACAATTCTGAGTTCAGAT